ACAGACAGGCAGGCAGTCAGGCAGGCAGGCAGACAGACAGACAGAGACAGACAGGCAGGAAGACAGACAGAGAGACAGACAGACAGGCAGGCAGACAGATAGATAGATGGTAACACTAAAAGTTTAAATAGAATATCAGTAAGCCCCTTTATTTACTGGGCATGACAGCAGTGTTTCATGAATCTGGCACCCCCTTCTTCCCCAACTATTCCTGTTAAACACACTGCGGCACAAATAGAAACTTTCAGAAGGCCTGACTGACGATAGCAATAAAGATGACAAAACCAGCAGGAGAGAGGCTGGAAATGGGAGGCGGTAAGGAACCGAGTCTTTCCTGCCATAATCAAAAGTCAGCGCATTTCCTGTCATTGTAGGAGCTCCAGGGCCATTTACCACACTGACACACAAACATGCACACTCAAGCGTTTGCATTCACACATATAAGACACGGCGTAGATTTACAACACTGAGATGAGGCACCTTCATAACACACATTCCTGACAGATTAATGTTACCGTACAAAAGAAATACATCACAGCCCATTTGGCACTGATCTACTCGCTGTGGGTCTGATAAATACTTTATCATAAACAGAGTGGGGCTATATAAATATTTGCTCGCTGTTATTGTTATTTTATATATGGCTTAAATGGTTGTGATAGCTTTTATCAAATAGTTATTGCAGTGCTTTAAAACGCTGGCAAAAACAACCAGCTTTGAATGACTAAACCAAGTCAAGGTTGCACGAATGCCCTGCAATGTCTTGTGTACTACAGGCACCAGTCCGAGCCACAAGAGTGTGAATCATGTTCAATTATGAATGGTGAGCAATATGTGAATGGCAGTATACTAAACGTTCTCATCCCTTCTTGAGTGAACACTCATTTTCTTCTGTTTATTTTAGGGAAGGCTGTGTTATGCAAGTACTATCAAATAACCAAAGCAAGCGAACTGTCATGTCATGAATCATGTACTGTTTGAAATATGCATTTATATGCACAGAGCAAGTTTTGACTGCATACAGATGAGCTCAGTCTTAGTCAGCCAGAGAACAAAACTACCAGGTTGGGGCAACCCCCATAACGCCTTTCACAGGCAGCCAAGCATGCAGACAGAATGCAGACCACTGCGGTTAGACTCAACTTCAGCATGCAGAAGCCGTCAGGGTTCATGTGAGTTGAGATTGTTTTCAGGGAAGAAATACAAGAATGGAAAAGGTAGCTTGTGTGTGTCTTTAAGAGCTAATACAGAAGTATGACTTGCAAAACCTCTCCAGTTTTTTTTTTTTTCAATGAAAACCACATGGACTACATTCCAACGGTTTTTTTTTTTCCAAAATTATTTTATTGGGAGAACTACAAAAATGTACAGTACAAAGTTAACAGTCTCACACGCAATTTGTAGTGAACTGGCTCCCCGATAAACAAATATGTTACAAATCCGGTTCTTTTTGTCTTTTTTTATTACATTCAAAAGCTTTACTTCTGATAAAGTAGTCAAAAAAGGTACATAGTGCGAATCCCCTGTACCTACTATGTACAAACCAAATGTGTTCAAACTCTTCCCCGTCCAGCAAGTTTGGAAGATTCAGACCATTACCATATCATATCATAGGAAAGCAAGAGAACAAACAAAAAGGCAAAACAATGCAAGGAACAGGGAGTAATAGAAAAAATACAACTCAGATTGTTGCTCCAAGTCTCTATTTCGCTCCTTTGATAAGTGGTAACAACCTTCCAAGAAGTTTAAATTACAAACTACATTCATTTCCTCTTGTTGTAAAACAGTAACATGTATGAAAATACTTTATTTGGTTAATCATAAGGCAATGTAAGATGGTGAATCCCAACAGGCACTAGGCAGTAATACTGGGGCTCTGGTCTGCTACGTTCTCACGCACGTGGCTGCCGTGCATTGTATAGACATACGTATTATATAAAAAAAAAAAAAAAAAAAAAACTTTTTGGTTAATCGATTTACTTGGGATCTTTGAAATCTGATTTCTATGAAAATTTAAGGCTAGTATATGTTCGGACGGTCCTCTGCCAACCACAGTTTATACATTCTACAGATAAACCTAAAGGGACATGTCTGACGATTCTCCAAAACGACAACAAACAAACAAAAAACCCTTCCGAAAAGTAACATCCCAACAAACAGCAAATCACACAAACTGTTTTTTAATGAACGTAAACAAGGAAACTAAATTAATGAAATAAATATCACATACAATCTCTTAAATTAAGATGTTTTTTTTTTACTCATTTACAATAAAATAAAGTGAAGTTACAAAAAGAGACCAAACAAAAATATATATTACTGTGAAAAGAACATACACTCCACTTTATGTAGATTAATAATGGCCATCATAATTTAAAAATAATACAAGAATATAGATCTATTGCTTCATCATACTCGATAAATCCAGTATGGACACAATTAACAATGTAGCCTATACTTTTCACAAGATAAAATAAATAAGTTAAATAGTTCATAGACAGTTAAGCACTGCTATGTAATCACTCGTATCAGCTAAAAAAAAGAAGAAGAAAAAAAAAGAAAATATATATTCAACCATCAGCAATGATTTCCCAACAAGCCAAACGAGAGCTTCAAACTGCACAAACCAACCAAACCACTGGGTGGCGCCGCGAAACTGGAGAACTTTTGGAATGGATGTACATACTTTGAAAACTAGTATACGTTTTGTCAAGGCATATTCTTGGCAAGGATAAAGGAAAATCTGAAACCAATCTGTCTTTCACATAAAAAAAAAAGTCTTTTGTACAAATGTGGAAAGTAGGTGGTCCAAAAAGACCAAGAGAATGCAAGTCCGTAACAGAGTTGACAAACATGTCCGTAACAGAGTTGACAAACAATACCATAAAGACGTTTTTTTTTTTTTTTTCTTTAAAAGAAAAAAAAAAAAAAAAAAAAAAGATATATTCAACCATCAGCAGTGATTTCCCAACAAGCCAAAGGAGAGAGCTTCAAACTGCACAAACCAACCAAACCACTGGGTGGCGCCGCGAAACTGGAGAACTTTTGGAATGGATGTACATACTTTGAAAACTAGTATACGTTTTGTCAAGGCATATTCTTGGCAAGGATAAAGGAAAATCTGAAACCAATCTGTCTTTCACATAAAAAAAAAAGTCTTTTGTACAAATGTGGAAAGTAGGTGGTCCAAAAAGACCAAGAGAATGCAACAAACTGCACCGGTGGAATGCCTTCAAAGCAGTTCAAACAGACTAATGCCGTGTCAGGCGTCTGACAAACAAATCCATCTCCCTCGATATTAAAGTCTATTGCTGAGCTGAACTACATATCTAGCGGGAGACTGCTCCGTTATCGAGCCCACTAAAAAAAAAAGCGGATTAATCATCGGAAATCGACAGCCTGCTGAAGATGGGCAAACGCCTCCCGCCGTCCAGACTGGGAGACTCAGAGCCGCTGAGACTTTCGGAGGAGCTGAGCGAGCCGCTGGCGTAGCTCTCCCGGTCCGAGATGCTGTCAGGCGGGCTGGGGGGCGAGTCGAACACCGGCGACTCTGACAGGCGCTGGAGGGACTGCAAGTGGCCGAGGCCGTCGCCCATGTTGACCTGAAGGTTTCCGTAATAACCGTTGTGCGTGTGCACGGCCAGCGGCGCGAGCAGGGCTTTGAGGTGTTGGCCGGGGAAAGAGAAGGCACTGTTGCGAGTCGACGAGAGAACGTCTTCGTAGAAATTAGTGGCGCAGGAGGAACGATTGGAGCAAGGGGGAGGGGGGGTTCGGGACGTGGGGCTCTCGAGAAGGGGCGAGTCGAGTCCGTGGTGGTGGTGGTGGCTGGAGAAACCCGAGAAGCTGAGGCTGTGGTGGAGTTTCGGTCGCTCCCTGAAGGCTCCCGCCGCCTGCTGGTGCTGCTGCCCGTAGCCGCACACCGACTCCCCCCGGACGGACTTGGTGGACTCTCCCTGCATGCTTTTGGCGTTGCTCGGCGCTGGTCTGCGTTCGTCGGCGTTGTGGATGAAGTGGCAGCGCGGGCCGTACGGGCAGAAGCCGATGGTGTGGAAAGTGCGACAGGGTTCGGTTTTGTACTTCGGGTGGCGAGACAGGCTTCTCAGCTCGTGGTAGCCGTGCGCGAACTGGCACTTCTCGCCGTACTTGCACGCTCCGTTTTCCTCGAAGGGCCTGCAGAGCTCCGTCTTGTAGCGGGTGGAGTTGATCTGCGAGCCCGGCTTCTGCTGCAGCCCTTGCAGCTGCTGGCCGCTCTCGCTGTAGGCGCGGTCGCGAAACTTGTTCTCCTTATTCATGATGGCGTTCTCCTTCATGCTGCTGTAGGAGCTGGCGGGGTACTTGTTGCCGTTTGTCATGGACTCCATGTTGCTGGTGGAGTTTCGACGGAAGAATCCTGACGCATACGAGTTGCAGTTGTTGCTGCTGCTGCTGGAGGTTGTTACCGGGGCCCCGACAGCTTTCTTATCCAGCATGCTGTTAATATGTATGGCGTTCATATTGAGGCTCTTCTCCTGCTGTGCAGAGAGGAGGAAAGAAGAGAAACAAAGTTAAAATCAATGCAAAGTAGTTGCAAAACTATTCATGTACTCGTCTCAGCCATGCATGAATTTGTTATACGGCTAAAACTTCTCGAATCGTCAAAAAGTCCAAGCAGAGATCAAATGCATGCAAGTAACGTTAGTGATTTGTTAAATCAGCAAAGTACCTTATACAGCATGTCGATGTCGTAGAAAGCGGACAGGATGGTCGCAGACATTTCTGTTTCTTCAGAAGAAGACAGTCGCAGATGATCTCTCATTTGAGGACCGACCTGGAGCCTTTGGATGCGAAGGAGTTTAGTTTGCCACTGGCTTAGAATTTGTGCAAGAGATACGGAACAAAAAAGGCTAGTCTCAGATGTGGTCTGAAACTCGGAGAAGGAAGGATGAGTTCCTCGTTGTGTTTTTGCTGCGAATCTTCTTCTCCCACCGCGCAGTGCCGAGCCAGAACAGTAAAGAGTCTGCTTTGCTCGCCCGCACATATAAGCTTGAGGAGGAGCTGCTCTCAAACTTACTGCGAAAGTTGCCTCAAAAGTTACGCCCTGCTTTTCAAGTGTCGCCGGTACTGTGGATCTCATTGGTCGCTTTCTGCACCCCTCCTGCGGCGCGCACACACACACACACACACACTCACTCACTCACTCACAGCACCTCTCCAACACTGCACAACTTACAAGATGAATTCAGTGCAATCAACATATGTCTAAAACAAGAAAAGTCAAAAAATACTAATATATAAATACTACCACATTATGAGTAGTTTTACAAATATACGTTTAATATACGCATCACATAAACCCCATATTCGTATAGGAAAAGCACATGGCATCCTATTTAAACAAAATGTTAACAGTGGGGAAAACTGATGGAAGAAACTTAAATCATGCATGCACACGCAGTGTTGACACAGGAAATGTTTAGTGGGTGAGTTCGATTGCATAATCTAGACCGAGAGGCCAGTCTTTGAAGTTGTGCCAGATCTGATGCATAGAGTGCGAAACTATGACACTTATCTGCATGTGACGTTTTCCTCTGCCTATCTTTCCCAGTATAAATAGTCAATTTTAGCCTAGAAATGCATTTTTAAATAAACAATGTTATAAATTGCATAATTAATTCTCATAATTTTTTGCATTGTATCCTTAATGTAGAAAACACAGACATAAAAAAACCTAAAAGTTTAAACAAGTTGCAACAAAGTAAAAATCAAATCCTTAAAGAAACTCAAACTCTCAACTCTAATAAAAACTATACAATACTGCCCCCTTACGGTGACGATGCTTATCGTCGAAAAAAAAAAAGAACTTTGGCGCCACCTACAGGCAAAAAATATAATTCACTTCACATTCCCTCGTTTTTTTCTCTCCCAGTTCCCATTGCATATCTCAGCAGTACTCTTGTATTACAATTCAATTTTTGATGGTTTCAGTGAAGCACATCTATACATAAATTAGAACAAAAATGATCCTGGTGAGGGGAACAGCATGTGTGATTTTACCCACCCTGTGTGTGTGGGAGGAATACTCTGCTGACATTCCAAAAAATTACATAATTTTACAGTAAAAAGGGAACATTGCTACTACAGCCCCTGAAGGCAGCCCAGCTGTCTACTTAGCAAACAGACACCAGACTATTTTGCTCTGACTGCATAACACGCAGGAGGAGCAACCAAATAATTTCTCGTACTAAAAACAGTTAAGCTATGCATTAAAAATACAACAGCTTGCTCGAATACCACATTGTGAAAACGTGACATTGAAAACAGCTGAGGAGAATAAAACCTCATTCTCAGTATCGCAAACACACATTACTGTACTAAAGTAATCCCACAGTCAAATTAGCGTAATAAACTTTATTTGAATAAAAAAAAAAGCTTGTGGTTATGCCTGCATGCAATTCAGCTCTTAAAGAGGAAAACCACTGTGAGATTAAAATAGGTTCCCCACAGTCAAATTAGCGTAATAAACTTTATTTGAATAAAAAAAAAAAGCTTGTGGTTATGCCTGCATGCAATTCAGCTCTTAAAGAGGAAAACCACTGTGAGATTAAAATAGGTTAATAATGCACCTTCCCTTTCACTTTCTGTATCTTTCACAGTCATTTAAGATCTAAGTGTATCTAGAAGATTCGGAGCCAGTGACTATCTCTCTTTCAGCAGCGATATCTTGGCAAACTCGATGGTGGCTGAAAACTGGGGCAGTGCAGGGAGGGCTTTCATCAAATGCTGAGCTGCCAGGGTATTGCTCTTTGCGATGACTGATAGTCGGTATAGTTCTGCAGCGTTTACGCCAGGTGAGCAATGTGTCACTCTTACGAGGGCAGAGGTGTCTGTGCAACATCCATGCCCATAACAAAGGCTCGGCCCCACAGGTTACGATCTCTCTTCTCAAAGAGGAAGTCCTCATCCTGGAAAAAAAGAAGAGAATAAGAAGAACCTACATTCTTAAACTAGATTTTCTGAAGACAATGTGAGCAGGGCATTGACAGTGGAGACAATTGGCACTTTAAGGGTGTTGCTATGCAGTTGCTAAGGTGTTTTGAGTTAGTTTTAGTTCTTTGATATGCAGTAGGGTGTTCTGGGTGATTTCTAAGGTGTTAATAAGTGAATGCTTATTGGGCCATTTTAATAGACAGGTCATATAAAGTGCAACAGTTGGGTTCCGGAACTAAAAATCCAATTTATAGATACTGAATGATAACTTATACACCTTTAAAGACAGAATCACTGTGGGCAGTGAGGTTGTAAATCAATGGTATATGCTTTTGTTGAAGCCGTCAGTCCATTATTTCAATTAATTTTTTTTAAATAATCATGTTTAATAGAGGAATTCCTGGTGGAATGATTCTGCTGAGTAATGCACCAATCAGAGAATCACAGCAAGAAAATCACAAAAGAATTCTTTAGCACCCGTAATGACGTAATTGACTCCGTCTCTATACGCTCTCAAACTATTTCAATATTTGTATGTTAATGCATAGTTTGCAATAAACAAAATATATTGTTTCTATTATGTCATTAAAGCTGTTAAGACTTGTACCTACGTTGTTTCATCCAATTTTCAAATATTTTTATTTATTTATTTATTTTAAATAATTTATTTAAAATTCCTATGGAAACAAAAATAATGGGGAGAATACTTCTGGAACCAAGGCTGTTAAAAAAAAAAAAAAAGTGGATGGGCACTGTTGCACTCTATAGGTCCATCAATGTGAGTCTATGGGATTTTCTACAAAATGTTATCATCCACTATGTGAAACTTGTACATTTCATAGTTATGAAAAGTAACAGCATAAGCTGCCAATTTCGTGTCATGATTCTGACGTTGGGGGACACGTTCTGTGGCAAAGTTTAAAAAGCCCGCAAACATAAGCAAAATCAGTGATGCATAAAAAAAACAAAGCAAAAGTGCTCCTTACCAAGTCCAGTGACTCCTCACAACTTATATCTGATTGTTCATCTCCCAGGAGCCATTCTATCAGGGTCACCATTCCAGCAGCCACCTGGCCCCACATCTGGAACAGCTGGCACAGAAGACCCACCCCCAATCTCCAGGGCAACTGGAGGAGAGACGGCACCCGTGGCAACATCTAGAAATGCGGTAGAACACAGAAGTCTAACAAATAATCCCTGATGTAACACAGGATTCAGCAAAACGAATGATTCTGGAACACACGTATGGAAAGTTTAAATAGATCAATTTAATGAGCCACGTCAATCTTAGTTTGGTTTCTTTGGTCTCCAAGGCATTACTGGGTTCAGGCAATGGAGGTGGTGCTTTGCCACAATGCAATCTGCTCCCAATCTGAGACTTGCCAGAGCGTTGGATGTAAAGCAACAGCCTGAGATTGATGCCTCGCTTTCTTTTTGTTCTCTAGACAGCGTGTTTCCATCTTCGCCTGGCATGGAACCCATTTGAGAGAAACAAAACTATAACAAAGCGCACACATTGGAAACCACAATGTACCATATGCACGCGTGCAGGCATTCAAGACGGGTCGTTTTTGACTCAACAATCGGGAAGTTGCGTCTAAGAATAGATCTAGACATAATATAAGGGAAGTGAGAAAAGATCTAAGTACGCATAAGACGACAACAACACTGACACCCATCCAGGACGGCCGTCGACCTCCCTTTGGTTTAACGACCCCAGTTGTTCATGCATCAAAGCAGTAATGTGAGAGATCTGCTGCAGTTTGTTTTGAACTCCAGTTTCCCTCCATTGCCCCCCTTCCCAACCAGAATCTGACATGCAAATTACTAAGGCTACTTCAAAAGTCACCAGGACTTGCCAGTCAAAACCAAAAGAGAGAGTACGAGAGCAAAGCAACACCTTAAAGGTTGCCCACCCATTCACCCCTCCCCCAAAAGGAACTCTGGGAAAGCAACCGCTCCACAAGAATAAACAGATCGGCTTTCCGAGGCAAACTTAAGTAGAGGCTATGGATAGATGTTGATTATGTAGACTCGAAGGGTGACATGTTCCTTTCTCTATGTGATGTGTTGGGACGCCCCATCTCTTGCTTTACCGGAGTCTGATGTCAGAGTTGCTTTTCATCCCCATTGGCTTTGGTGCTGGACGCCATCCAAGGCCGAACAAATAACCGGCACCCAGACATTAAGAAATAATAGGAAACTCAAGCTCTTTCCATTCCCTTTTCTGTGGTTTAGCACTTCAATAACATGATTTCTCAATCTCTTCAGAGCTTACTCAACAGGATGCTCTGTGCGCATCTGCGAGGACAAGTGTTTTCGGTGTTAACTTCTGATGTGTTTGTTTGCCATTTAAGAACATTTGTATCACGTATCGCATCGGTAAATTCCAAATTTAAAGGCTGAAAATGTACACTCATAAAAATTTTACCTTTGGGGGTACAACAGCTTGTCACTTGTGCAGTACCCTTAAAAGGACAACTTTGTACCATATTTATGCCTAAAATGATCACAGTAGCAGCTTAAGGGTACATATTACTACTCTAAGGTACTATTATGCACCTTTTACGGGTGAATAAGGTAAAATGTTACCCCTTTTACCACTTTTAATGGTACAATATTTTCCTGACAGTGTATTCCTGACAGGCCTTGCTGTACTTAATGGGATAGTTTATCCAAAAATTTAAATTTTGTCATCATTGACTCATCCTCATGTTGTCCAAATCTGTATTATGTTATTTCTTCTGTGGATATTTTGAAGAATGTTGATAACCAAACTGTTTTGGTGACCAATGGCTTCCATTATGTAGACATAAACACAGATATTTCTCAAAACGTCTCTTTTTATGTTCCACAAATGAACAAAAAGTCATAAAGGTTAGGAACGGCATAAGGGTGAGTATATGATAACACAATTTTGGCTGAACAATATCTTTAAGTTAAAGTGAAGAAGCTTCTAGATCTTGGCTGTAGATGTGACAGCAGAAATGTTCGCGAGGTGTTTCGGGGCACTTCGTCCAGCCGGTTTGTGTCTAGATGCACACAGTTGTGCTGAGACTCCAGAAGGAAGAGGAATGTTTCATTCCCGTAATCGATCCGTGGGAGTCGTGGGACTGGAACTAATTAAAAAACTTTCTGAATAATGAAAGCAAGAAGGGCATTAGTGTGTGGCAAATCTGGGATGTGAGCGAGCGCAGCTGGGTGAGTGTCGGGTGTCGGGCGTGAGGGAAGGTGGGCTGGATGAATGAGACGACTTCTCTAAAGCCTTATTTACTTCTGGTTTAAGCCTACCCATGATGCAACAGGGGTCTCATGGTGGGTTTGACAGCTTTATCCCAATAAACTAGATGACTAAACAGACCCAAAAATGGAAATTCTGTCATAGTTTACTCACTCTCGTGTTCTCATTTATAAGGTAAATCAAATGTCAGATCGAAGACACTGAGCTTGTATGTGGCTGGAGATTTCAGTGCATGTGGGAATGACCACATGTGCATCATTGCACGCTCTCTCACATACATGCGTGCATATTTGGACACACTCCTAGAACAAGGTGCAAAAAGTCTGCGGGCAGGAAGTGTTGGTGTGGGCGAGAGTGGTGTCAAGGTGCGAGAAAACACACACATTTACAGCTCTAACTTCCTTCAGAGACCTATGAGAACCAAGGAACTAAAGGAAGCTCATACCTAAACACAAACACACGTACACATGCAAGCACTCGCACGCACCAAACACAGACTTACAATGCAATATGTATAAATATCAACTTCTTAATATTTATACCATTTGTGCTATTATTATTATTTAAATGACAAAAATCTGTTTTTAATTTATGTAGTAATAATAATAATAGATCACAAAAACTGCACAAATATAAGGGTATCAATAATAATGATAATTATTATATCATATTTGTGCAATTTTTGTGATCTATTATTTTGAATTATGCTGTTGCAGTGTAATTACTTTTTTTTTGTTGTTGTTGTCAAAAGCAGACATAAAACAATAGCTAAAACTCTCAATCTCCGTCAGCTCCTTTTGGAAGAGCAAGAAATTATTAAATCCATACATTAAACCTACATTTGATTTCCAGTGCAGCTTACTTTCATGATTAAGGCCCTGAATATTCAGCAGGCCAGCAGAATCAGGTGGAGACGGATATCATCTGACACATTTATGTCAAAACTAAGACGTCTGCTAGACTTCTTTAGTGTCCCTTACATCAGCCTAACCTGTCTAACGGGAGTGTTACAGTATCACCCAGGTGTCTGCTGGTTAAAAGGCCTGGAAGACGGTCACGTGACCCTAAGACAGTTGGGAAAAAGACTCCGTAACGTATGTGGTACCTCAGAATCCTTAGAATTCTTCCTGTGTCAACAGGCCGTGACAGCCCATTTTTTCAGCAGCCTTGGTTCAGGAAGTATTTGTCCCATTCACTCTCTCCATTGGGATTTAAAAAGAGACCAAAACGAGTTGGATCTGAAAAAAGACCAAAGGTTGTTCATTTCCATGGATCTAATGAGGATCTCTTACAGATTATGTGCAGAAATTCAGCAATTAAATAATAATAAAAATGTGTCCATTGCAATCATATAATCTTCTCGGATTTATATAATTAAAAAAAATATATATATGTAATTAAAAATCAAGTTTCTTTATGGAAAAAACAGGATTTTAGTTCAAGATTATGTTTGTTAAACTCTGCATACAAGCTAAAATGAATAACAGGGTCAATATGCCTAAACTGTTTAACGGTTTTAATGATTGAGCACCTTTGGTGCTACATTTGGACACTACTGGTTTAATGGATGGATGATCCACGGATCAGTTCAGACCTCTTCTTGTAATCCATTACATGAATGACTACAGGGCATCTACTGCTAAAGACATTACACGCACAACGCTAGAGTCTGACATTAGCTGACTGGTGAGAACGTCCTCAAAATGAAACCAGAAACGCCAAGAACAATACCAACGGGAGTAATGCGAGCAACAAATGTTTAAGGTTTTTCAAAACAGCTGAACTGATGTTGTGGGGGGGGGGGGGGAGCTTCACAATTTACATGTAATAACCGTAGTAATACTTTATATTTAAATATGGCAAGTAAAAAGCGATTCGCTAGTGGGAAAAAATAGCATTATTATGGTGATTCGCATTATAACGACAACAATAATACATCAAGGCAACATAATTAATGATACTTGGTTTAAGGATTCAAACAGTCCCTTAACCCTAAGCAATAAACTACGCATCCCACACTGTTTGAACTTCTGACACGAGTAATGCCTCAAATCATGTGTTTTGTTGACTACAGGTCATTTCTAAGTGATCAGAATGTGTTTTTGCCTGGCAGAGGAAAGAACGGGTAAAAAAGTCCCTTAATAATGTTGTAGACTTGCATATTACAGAGCTTTTTGACTTGGGCCAGTAAGCAACACCCTAGCATCCTCCTAGAACACCTTAGCAACTACTCGTCACCAAATATTTACACTTGTTCAAGGCTTACGTCTCTGTAACTGAGGCGAAAGCAAACCGGCCCCGGAAAAAAAAAAAAAACCTGGCAAACACAAGTGAAAAGCGCTGAGCATTTCAGGCACAGTAATTACATTTGAAATGCTTGAACACTCCCGAGTTCCCCCCCCGTGAGAATATGGTCCTATTCCGTCTTAATGCTGTTATCAGATGTACCTCTCACCCTCATCCTAAAAGCCTTGTCAAGTGATGCCAGGGGTTCTGATTTCCAACCTAATTTGTATTGAGATAGCGGAGGAATAAAAGTGTCTAATTGAATTTGGTTTCGTGTACTGCACAAAGACTTCTCTATGACGGCGAAAAGAAAGAGGGCCAAGTACAAAGCCAGAAATGTGATTACAGTGCATGTTAGAGTTACTTCATATATCTCAACTGCTTCATCTTTCTCAAGAGTCAAGTTTCTTTCTAAAACTAGAAAAGTGTTGAAAAATAACATACCAATAAACTATTTTTCACCATCAACATTTTAGGTTAAAATTTACATATACAATACTGTTCAAAAGTTTGGGGATGGAAAGATTTTCATTAAAAGTTTTTGAAAGAAGTCTCTTATGCTCACCAAGGGTGCATTTACTGTATTTGACCAAAAACACAGAAAAACAGTAATATTGTGAAATACTAAAAATTCAATTAATATTTTAAAATGTAATTTATTCCTGTGATGCAAAGCTGAATTTTCAGCATCATTACTCTAGTCTTCAGTGTCACTTGATCGTTCAGAAATATGCTGATTTGCTGCTCAAGAAACATTTATTATTAATGTTAAAAACAGTTGTGCTGCTTAATATATAAAAAAAAAAACTGATACATTTTTTGTTCTGGATTTTTCTGGAATTTTTTGAAAACTTCTGCAACAATGGAAAAGTCTTTACTGTTTTAATCAATCTGATGTGCCCTAAATATAAAATTAATAAAAAAGCCTTACTGACCCCAAACCTTTGAATAGTAGTGTTATTATAATATAACAGCAAATTTTAATGCATTAAAAATGTAATGCATTATTTTTTCCAAAATAAATTGCACCAAATTAACATTAAATAAACAGGTCTAAATATAATACATAAAATTATAAAATATAAAGTTATACACACCTGCGGAGTGACAAATCAAATTTTAAAGTACAAACACGCCATTGTCATTTGGGATAATAAGAAGTTAGCCAGTCACTAAAAACAAAATAAACCCCAATATTTTGTGACAATGACTGGCTGATGACGGTTGAGACAATGATTGCCACCTAATCTAATAATTATACAGTTTAACGATCATTATACAAAAACATTTTCAGAATGCAGTGATTGACCAATCAGAATCATGTATTCCAGCAAGCCGTGTAATATGAGGTCACAAAAACTGCATGTATAACAATTTTACATTTCATTTAGATCAATTGCGGAAACTGTCACTGCTTGAAATTTCATGTCAGCTACCCAAAACCAGTAACATATTGTGGGTTGGCGACGAGAAGGCTCAAAGGATTGTGGGACAATGCTTCCTCAGACTCTTCCCCCATCCTGCTCTTGTTTTTTTTGTCCATGTGAAGCAGGATATCAGCGTATCAGAGAATGTGGTAATGATGTGGTTTTGATGTGACTGATTTATGGGACGGAGGTGCCGCTATTCTCTGCATCGCTGACCCACACACTTCCATTTCAAAGGCGCAGGGCTGCCGTTCACCGCCTCTCCTCCACACCTCTCCTCTGTCGCTCAGTCAGGCGAGGTCGTAAACAACACTGACCTGACCTCCCCTATCCCTCCAAAACACATCCCCTTCCAGCCATCTTCATCTGATCTCCTGAGTCAGTGTTGTATAATGTTCTGGGTTCTATATACAAGCACAGTAATTGCAGCAACTTTTTCCTTAGCAAAAATCAGTACAGCAATGCATTCACAATGAAAGTGTTTAAAAATGCAGCTTGCATTTTCTTTGAAGTACTTATATTAATTCGAAGTTGCAAAATTGTTTTATTTGAGCTGTAAAAGGTGGCAATTATCCTTTAAGTGGTGAAACTTTGAGGAACTTTTGGTATGTGGTTTTGGTAAGACGTCAATCCTGTAAATGAGTGAGCTTGCGCTCATGCAAACAGTCCTTTTCTAGTATTCTTGGATTTACATGACTATGGCACCGAAGTATTGAATATTTCTTTGCACAAGACCAGGTTAGAAAGTGACTTTTTCATACTAATTTCATGCTAACACTTAAGTTGTGTGGCTATACTTACTAAACAGTGTGTATTTCAATGTTTCTTGCCTGTGTCTGTATACTTGTGTTGTGTTACTGTTGTGTCCCTTTCTAGTATTCTTGCATGTGAAAATTACTGGGTTTAATGCCTTTGCATTGCCATGACACTGAAATACTGAATATTACTTACGCATACCAGATTTGCAAGTGACTAGCATACTAGTTTCCTGCTAACACACAAAGTTTGTTTATTGTGTGTGTGTGTGTGTGTGTGTGCATGTGTATGAATGATGATTCCAAATTACATGACAAAAATTTTCAAAACATTTGAAAATAATTTTAAAATAACATAAATCAAAATAAAACGCTTACTAAAAAAATCATTTTTTTTAAATTTATTTGTTTACCTGCATGTCATGTGACCATTAACATCAGACAAGCGTAAACAAGCAAATGTGTTGTTAAATTATTGAAATATTAAATTAAATCCTCAAGAGGTAATTCAAGAAAATATTTTAGGTGAAAAGTTTTTTTTTTTTTACAAAAAACCCTAGTCTGTGATAATTATGGCACAAAGGCTGTCAATAGAGCTTCACTAGCACTGAACCCAGAATGTTCCTTTAATATGAGTGTGTGTGTGCATGTGTTTGGTGTACCTGTGTTGTGTAAATGGTCCGGTATGTAGCAGGTGAAGTCAGCTGCTCTGTCCCTGACGTCCTGATCTTCATCCTGTAATAAAGTAAACAGGTTCTTCCATAGTGCCACAGTGTGTGTGATACCTGGAAACACACACACACACACAGACAGTAAGCTTTAGTTCAGATTCCTACATACTTGTTCTTGTCCATAGATGTCCACTCACCCAGAGGAAGTGCTGGTGCCGTCAGTAAGGTGGGGACTGCCTTCACCAGCACCTCTGCTGACATGAGTTTGACTTCTGCAGGTTGTTCCTCACCGCAGCCTCCCCATTTGCTCAGACAGACCAGCAGCCTCACTGAGCTCCTGCTGTGTGACACAAACACACAAACACTGTGGTGATACCATGGTACCAAGGTACAGTGATGTGTACGATAGTAATGCCTTGGAAAGTTGATATGTACCATAGTAATGCATGATTATCATTATCATGGTGTTCACATGCTATACTTTAAGGTATATTATCAGCTATTGTACAACAGCTTGTGCTCCAGAAAGTGTTTCTGATCGTAATCAGCATAATCTATTTTTAATATTAATTTTGCTGAGTCTTTTGTTTTATTTTTATTATTTATTTATTCATTTTTGTTGCATTGATGCTAAACTTATAATTCACTTGCTTATGAATAGTTTATTGTTGTTTATGTAATGCAAAATATTTTTAATGCACTTTTTTTTGTTGTGAAGTCTTTCCTCTTTTGATTAAAGCATTTAGTTCATAGCATTATCCAATTACCACATTTAAAACGTAAAACCATTTTTCATTGAATTTCAAACAAAAACAACTTTACCATGGCATATATTGTGATATGAGATTGGTCATGCTTTGACAATACACTACTGTTCAAAAGTAAAAATACATTAAAAACATGCATTAATATTGTGAAATATTATTACAATTTAAAATAACCATTTGAATATATTTTAAAATTTAATTTATTCCTGTGATGCAAAGCTGAATTTTCAGCATTACTCAAGAAACATTTCTTAATATTATCACAGCTGAAAACAGCTGTGCTGCTCAATATTTTTGTAGAAAATTTGATACATTTTCAGGATTCTTTGATAAATGTGAAGTTCAGAAGAACAGCATTTATTTAAAATGAATAGAAAATAAGATTTTTTTTTTTTTGTAAAAATGTAAAGTGAATTAATAAATGAATTCTTGCTGAATAAAAGCTAAAAATACTGACCATGAACTTCTGAATGGTAGTCATTGAAATCACATTGTTAACTGAGAAAAATTATCTTGGAGGCCATACATCTCAGTCCCCCTCCCCCTCGTCACACCGAGCGGCTAATCGACTTTCCAGGGATTTCCTTATTTGTAGTGAGATGGCGGAATGTTAAGCCGTTATAAGGTTAAGTATCTGTAATCTGCTCCAGTCTAGATAGAGAGCAATAGACTGTCCAGTTTAACTCGCTTAAGTCTGTCTGGAAACGTCCAACACAATGCTTCACTCTTTCCTCTACTCAGTCTCTTGTTTCTTTTCTTCTTCCTTACCTGCGGCGTTGATTTGGCCAGGTGCAGCACCAACTGAGATGTCAGGGAGAGAGCGGCACAGTAGAGCTCCACACTGAAACGCATACAAGAACATGTGCATACTTCAGTTTATTATCAAAAACTGGGAGGGCAGGGTGATGCAACAAAAATTGCATCAAAATTGCAAAAATTTTGATGGTTCAAGGCTTGTTTTCCACATCAGTTTATTATCAAAAACTGGGAGGGCAGGGTGATGCAACAAAAATATAGAAAATATCAATTGTGTCAGTGTTGGTTTTGATGGTTCAAGGCTTGTTTTCCACATGAACTGATTTTTCCACAGTAATTGAATAGAAGACACCTAACTACATATTTTCTTTTATGCATTTCCATACATGCTACACAGGGGCTTACGCTATGCCTACGTCATCCGCTGAAATGCCACTCTCTCCTGAACACGCTTAGGACAGTTAGCGGAAGCTAGGCATGCCACAATTCTCAATATAATATTGAACTGTTCGGTATGACATCCATGGTTCAATACGCGCTTGCTTACTGTGTTTTTTCCAGTTTTGCATTTAAATAATTTCAGTTTTATTCCTTTTTGGTTTTATTTCGGCTGATCTCTGACTTGCACAAACTGCATTGTGATCATTTCCCAAAATGTCTTTTGTTTGAAAAAATTACGAGGTCTGTAAACGGCCGCTAACAGAGGCCAGACACACTGAAGACAGACGCAATGAGGAGAAAAGACTGTAGCAGGCAGAGCAAGATCACTGTTCACAATGCGCAAAATATTGTAAGAAAATCCAAAATATTGAATTGGAGGTTTATATAAATGTGTTTCTGAGGGGAACTGACTGTCTTAAGAAAAGTTTAGATAGTATTTCTTTTTCATCTTACCGCTGTATAATGCATATTCAAGTAGTGTTCACAAGCGCTGCGCTGCTTTGTTTACAGCGGTAACCATGCAAAGAAAGCTGTATTGCTGCTGTTCCAGAAGCGCCACCTGCTGTCAGAGAGTGAATTTGCATCTTATTCAGTTCATCTGCTGTTTTTGTTTCATTCAGTTGTTTTATGTAGTATAGTTTCACAAAGCTATGGTCAGATCATTCTGTATTTGCTTCAAATTTTTAAATTATTCAATCTAATTTAAATCAAAAACTGCTCATGCTAGATGTGTGTAGCATCTTTGTTTGGATCGTGATTAAAATGCCAAAGTTGCCTCTAATTTTATATGGCTACAGATGGCCTGTAACAAAGCAAATACACATCTTGTTCATGTACTCATATTTTAATTCTTTCTTGTCTCTTGCTTAAAAAAAAAAAAAAATTAATAAAAAAAAGAAAAATACAAAATTGGCAACTGGAATAGGCCATGAAAAGATCAGTGCATTCCTACTACGGTCTATTTATTTTATATTATACAGTACACTAGGATTTTGTAAAAGTGGAGTTTTATAAAAATAAAGAAACTAAAATAAAGAGAGTATTGCAATATTTTTTTTTTCTCCTTAACCTCTTACTGCTCCTGTCGCCTAAGCATAAGGGGCTTTCGCACTGGAGGAACCTTTTCATAGTTCCTAGAACTATTGGCGGAAGTACCCACTTTTTGGCGTGTCTGCATCACAGGAACTGGGAACGACTTTAGTTCTAAGAACTCCGTTTGGGGGAACTAAATTAGACCCACAGAGTCGGTCTAAAACAGTACTGTAGGAACTACCAGTGACGTAAGTGTAAGCTGATTGGCCAAACGCACATGCAATACAGACTACCTGGGATTTTTTAGAGTCGGTCTAAAACAGTACTATAGGAACTACCAGTGACGTAAGTGTACGCTGATTGGCCAAACGCACATGCAATACAGACTACCTGGGATATTTTAAAAGGCCATGTAAAAAAAATTTACTCCACGAACATGGAAAACAGCGATAACAGCATTTAGCTGTTGATGCAGCATTGTGTTCTTTTCTCAGCCTTGATGATATGTAACACTGCAAATTGTCTTGGAGATTTAGTCAAATTTCCATGCTCTTTCTATCACCTACATTGTGCGTTTACATACCATCTCCGTTATCACGAAACCCACGACACAACAAAAACAGCTCCGATCACTGCGTCCTCCATTCACCGGTTGTTGACGTTTATAAATGCTGTCGGCTGCTTCAGAGTTTCTGCTGCCGGTACGAATGCAACCAGGAAAATGGCCCAAGGGGGAAATTGGTTCTCTAGGAACCACCCTGCTGGCTAGTTACTAGAACTGAGTTCCTAGAACTACATGGTGTGAAAGCCCCTTTTGAATAACAAACCCCCCTCCCCCCCCCAAAAAAAAACACTCTGATCAGAACCAAACCGAGAACCGTGGTTAAAAAACTGATATATGTATTGAACCGTGGGCTAACTGTATTGTTGCATCCCTAGCCGAAGTTTTAAATATGGATATTTTTCTTACACAAACATATCACTTCACTTCAGAAGGCCTTTATTAATCCCCCGGGCCGTGTGGAGTAGTTTTTATGATGTATGGATGCACTTTTTTTGGCTTAAAAATCTCAACGCCCATTCAATGCCATTATAAAGCTTGGAAGAGCCAGACATGTTTTAATATAACTGATTGGATTCATCTGAAAGAAGAAAGTCATACACACCTAGGATGGCTTGAGGGTGAGTAAATCAAGGGGTAATTTTCGTTTTTGGGTGAACTATCCCTTTGACTGTGAAATTTACTAGCAATTTTTAAGAGAAAATATTCTCTACAGTTTTTTTTTTATTATTGAACAAGAACTCATGTCATATGTAGCCAACTAATTATTTTAGAGCAGAGCAAAATAATAATTAAAAAAATAATAATAAAAAATAATAATAAAATTACTATAGAAAGATTTTATTATTATTATTAAAAACTACCTAGAACGTTTACTCATGAACTTTACAGTCCTGGAAATAGCCATTTTAGAATTTCCAGATTTTTCCACGACCATCTGGACCCTGATCATAAATGCTGTCTGATCATAAACTGAAGACACACTGACACACACTTAAAAACGAACCCCAGACGGAGTCCAGAGGGGCTGTTTTACTAACTTGATCTCAGAACAGGTGTAATCCAGCATGTGTTGTCCAACAGAACACGGGTACCAAAATACACTCAGCAATTGTGCCATTACACAACACTGCAAGTGTCCAAGTGCATTACACAATCGCACAGACACACACATAGCAAGTATTATGGTGTTGCTTAAATCACAGGGTGACTGCTACAAAAGACACGTATCAAGTCACACTGTACAAACAGCAATACACTGCAAGGCGTTTCACAACGCTGAACTTAAGGAGAGAGACTGAAAGTGTACGAGTGTCGCAGGGTGCGGGAGTCTTTGTAATGCAATCCCATCAGCCTGTGTTCACTGCGCACTGGGATGTGAAGGTGTCTGTTATTCTGAGGCCCCTACAGGCACCTAGGAGCCAAAAACAACAGTTCAACTGCACCTGCCGCCACATAAACACATATTAAGACATGCACACAACCTCCTAGCATGTACATACCCACAAATTATAGGGAATAACCCTATGTAAAGGTATACGGACACTCTCTCAATTGAAAGCACAGGTAGCTGTGTGCCTTTAATGTGTAAATCAATCTCCCTCCCGCTCTGCCGTAGATATGAAAGGGTGATTGATGTACATGGGGCGGCTGGCGACCACAGGTATGTGTGGTTTCTTTTGTAGTCGGAGCCCACATCTGAAGCCATTACGCTTCTTGCTAACAGCGCTAGCCGCTCAACAGAGTACCTCTCGCTTCCCCAGAGGGATATCCACCACCCAAACCGCTGCCTCAACAATGAGGAGGTTTGTTGGAGTCCACAGCTGCTGAGAACATGCTATGTGTTAGGGTGGTGGTGCAATCTAGTATACAATATTAATCTTTTAAATCTGGTGTGGACTTTCTGCACAACTGGATGTGAATGGAAGAATCACTCATCACATTTATCGTTGTTCAACAAATTTCATGGGCGAAATCCAGTTATTTCAATGGGAATCCACAATATTGTGAATTTTGCGTGAGGGTGAAAGATTTACCCACGCAGATTTCGCAACAAGTTCAAGCTGGTCACACGGATTTGCCACTTTTTTGCTTGTTTTTAAAAGTATCTTCTGTGTAAGCTGTGCTTCATTTAGCCTACCTACAGAATTGACAACAGACACTAGACCTTTTGCCTGTAAAATTTCACCAATGTGAAGGTTCCCCGTTTGCCATTGTTTGGACTGGTAGTCAAATGTCAGTTTCCAATGTTGTTGCTGAAATGTAAAGAGCTGGACAGCTAATACTGCTGATATATAGGCTATGGGCTGCTAAATGCTGATATAAGCTACATAATACAATTTAATATCAGCGAATGACATACATACAGTTGATAAAATATGGTAGACTGATACTCTGTTTCTAAAATATTATTAGCGATTTGGGCTTGTTTAGATTTCCATCTTTGGAACAGGACAGGCCTATGACCTAGCATAACTTTCGACGTCCCAAAGTCAATGTTTTTTTTTTGTTTTTTTACATGGGTTTTTAGTTAAATGCATGAAAAAAGGTTTGTGGTCAACACAAGCTCAAGATATTTTCACGCTTTATTCTACGACACAAAATACATCAGTAATGTGATTTTAAGCTTTATGTGTCTTGAAAATTGGCCTACAGAGGTTGTTTGGGACAGTAAACTTTATCATGGCAAACTGTAAAACTCATCTACTCAACTTGTCCTCTTTCACAGCATCATGTTTATAAATGCGCTTTTGGGAACTATTCTATTCTAACTCAAACTTTCCCATTTGTGGATTTTAAATCAATATTAATAAAGAGTTGTCGGAAGCATAATGGCGGTGATGTTGAACTCATGCAACCATGGTGTAGTTTATTTATACCCTATAGCTTTTTACTTTTGCCACCTGTATTTATGCTAAGTTGATTAAGTTGATTATCATGATAAACAAAACGGGTAAGAATCAAACTTTCATTGGTCACAAAGCTAATTATCTGCAATAATTCAAAAGTCAATGAAAAAAGAAAAACATGATAGTATCATCTGTATGGTTCACCTGTGTGTAGAGGTTTCCAGCAATGTGAGGAGATACTCTAGAACCTCCTGACAGCTCAAAGACGTCATCCCATCTCTCCAGTGCAGCAGGGAAGAAAGTGGGAGGACAGCAAGAACCTGCAAAACCTGTGAAACACCAAAAGAAATGGAGACTTTAGTCAGGCTAGATGCCGTATTTTCACAAAACCATTGAACAGACTGTACATCTATTCTACACAGCCTCGTTTTCATGCATGTCACAATAAATATGGCATCTACCCTGACTAATCAAACACAAAGAGCACGAGAAGTCGGTCCAGGATGTTTTGTGAATATTTTCAGTGCTTCATTTGCCAGACACACCTCTCAACCCATATTCCTTTCATCCATATGAACATTCCCTTATTCCACCCTCCTGTCTGTTAGCATTCCTCCCTCACCATCCATCCATCTATCCCTCTATCCCCTTGCACATAAAACACATCTGGTTCAGCTCTGGCCCTCGGGTTTCCCCCTCAGCAGAGCGAGGGAGTTAACGGAATACTTGTTTTTCTTCTCCTCAGACCCCAACCGTCTTTCCTTTCCCTTCCCGTGACAGGCCAGGTACCTTACAGTGCTTTGTTGATATTATTTAGACTTGTTTGGTTGATTATTATTTCTTGGAGTGCACAAGAGCCTTAAATAAAGGCATTTTACGGATCTTTTTAATGGCTTTCTATGGCCTCCGACTTAATCATATTTCAGTCTTTTATATTACGGTACATTATATTATATTAAAGTACATGACGAAACCAATGTGGATTTAGTCTTGAGACTAAAATGAATATTTTCAGAATGGATTTAGGCACTAGGCTTTAGTGCAATTGCAGTTCGATGCATATTTTCTTATTAGCGTTGCCATTTGAGCCCACAGAGGAAAAATTAACCTAACTTTCTTCATCACTTCCCAGAATGCTTTGGTGGAACAGTAGACTTACCATGGAAACCAAGCCATATCAAGAGTCTAGAGCCTAACAGCAGCACTTTAAACATTAACAGTTGGCCAATAAAACAGCTTTTAAGAACACACATGCACACCCAGCCAAAATCACTGCAACAGACACGCAGAAAATACACAAACACACACACACACACACACACATCCTTCCAGAAAAGCCGATTCCCGTCAGTTTGAACGTTGCTTAATGACAGAAGCGGCAAAACAGAAGGGTAATTGATGGTTTGTTGAGTGTTTATGAGGAATTGAAATGCGACCCGTTTCTAAACAGGAAATCGCCTGCCATTTCACTTTGCAGGGCTTAAGCTCTGAGTTGAAACTGCTTTTGTGTGTATTGAGTCTGTGAATGGAAATTAAATGACATTCAGCCAGTTTCATTCAGAGACACAGCTGTGACAAGCTCTTGTCCAGCAGGTTTTTAGAGTGTAGATGTTTATTCAGATAATCAGAGAGAATCCCCATATGACGACATGTGTCATTTAGACGACTGAATTCACTAATCTCAGGACCAGATTTGTGATCAACGTAATGGTGAATTTCAACCTGGTGAAATCCAAGGATTTCGACTGCTAACCTGAATTAAAGGGATAGTTCACCCAAAAATGAAAATTTGATGTTCATCTGCTTACCCCCAGGGCATCCAAGATGTAGATGACTTTGTTTCTTCAGTAGAACACAAACGGAGATTTTTAACTCAAACCGTTGCAGTCTGTCAGTCTTATAATGGAAGTGAATGGGAATCACGGCTTTGAGAGTACAAAAAAAAACATACACAAACAAAACCAAATTAAGCCCTGCGGCTCGTGACGATATATTGATGTGTAAAGACACGAAACGATCAAGAAGACGTGTCACGCGCCGGCTGTCGAGGACGCGCTCAGGACTGTTCAGATATTGCAGTGCATCAGAGGTAAAAAACAATATAATTACTGTTCAATTTCTTGCACAGACCAATCGTTTCGTGTCTTTACAGATCAATGTATCGTCACGAGCCGCAGGGTTTAATTTGGTTTTGTTTGTGTATGTTTTTTTGACTCTCAAAGCCATGATTCCCATTCACTTCCATTATAAGACTGAGAGACTGCAACGTTTTGAGTAAAAAATCTTCATTTGTGTTTTACTGAAGAAACAAAGTCACCTACATCTTGGAGGCCCTGGGGGTAAGCAGATAAACATCAAATTTTCAGTTTTGGGTGAACTATCCCTTTAAGTTTCATTCGAAAAAACATGAGACCTGCAAAGATAATTTTTCCTAGTACTCTTACAGTCCAAAATAAATTCATTGCATCTCACTTTTGCTTTTGCAAAAAGGGGGGGGGGGGGGGTGTTGTGTGTAGAATGTTTTTCAGTGTTTGACATTTTATAAAGTTTTGCACTGCATTTTGTGAAGTTTTCCAAGTGATTTGTAAAGTTTTTGTATTGTGCTTTGTTAAGCTTGAAGTTGTAATGCAAATCATTTTATGACGTTTTGTTAACGTTTTTGTAGTGTTTAAAGTTTTGTAAAGTTGCAATTTTGTTTCAAGTTTTGTTAAATAGTTTGTTGTTTTGTGTAAAGTTTTAGTGTTTAATTATTTCTGTTTGACATTTTAAGTTTTGCACTGCATTTGTGAAGTTGTGTTAGTTTCTGAATTTTGTGAAGTTGTCAAGTTTTCTGAAGCGTTTGTACTGTTTTGTAAAGCTAAGTAGAGCGTCTAAAGTAGTGATGCAAATCATTTTGTAAAGTTTTGTTAAGGTTTTGCAGAGTGTTTAAAGTTTTGTAAAGTCACAATTTTGATAAACCATTTGTGTGTGTGTGTGTGTGTGTGTTGCTTTTTTAAAAGTTTTCGTAGTTTTGTATAGTATTTTTGTTAAGTTTGAAGTTTTGTAAACGTTTGCACTGCATTTTGTGGAGTTGTGTTAAGTGTTCAGTTATTTGTAAAGTTATGTATTGTGTTCTGAAAAGCTTAGTAGAGTGTTTCAAGTTGTAACAAATCATCTTGTGAAGTTGTGTGCTTGTGTTTTTGTGGAGTGTTTGAAGTTTTGTTAAATAATTTAAATAGTGTTGCTTTTTGTAAAGTGTTTTTTACAAAGTTTTTGTAGAGCAGTTTTTCAGAGTGTTTGACGTTTTAAGTTGGTAAGTTGTGTAAATTTTAAATTTTTTTTGTATTGTGTTGTGTAAGGCTTAGTAGAATGTTTGAAGTTGTAACGCAAATCATTTTATGAAGTTGTTGCTTTTGTAGGGTGTTCAAAGTTTTGTAATGTTACAGCTTTTGCAACTTGTTTTTGTGTTGTATTTTTAAATTTTTTTTGCAGCGTTTTATAAAGTTGTGTACAGTATGCTGAAGCAAAAGCGTGGTTTCCTCACCATGGCTTGACACCCAGGGTAAGTCTCGTGAAGGGCCAGGGAGGTTAAGCTGGACACACTGAGGTCAAAGGGCAAGGGTCCCTGACCCCGTTGACACTCTTCCTCTGTCTTCTGAAGTCTCCTGAAGAACTGTTCCAGGGCAAACAGCCGAACCTCATAGAGCGGACACCGCAGCAGTCGCTCCAGGAGGTCGCTCTGAAACCCGTCAGACTCTGGACAAATCCACAGGTGAGGTGATTCCACACAGATGCTGATGGCTATGTGAGCCAGACTCTGCAGGTACTGTGTGGCTCCAGGGACTGAGAGCTTCATGTCATCGGGCCCCTGAGGGGCCACAAGTTCTGAGGCCATAAGAATCTGCAGAGTTTCCTCACGCAGCTGCGACTCTAGAGCAGAAACAACAAATGTACTCCATTACATGTAAGAGAAGTGACAAATTCTAAAATTAAAGCATCATTGATATTTGGTGACATATAAAAATGTACAATGCAATGAAAGAACTACTTTAATTGGTGTATATTAGTGAAAAATGATCACTCTTTGAACTTTCAATATTAATTATTTATTAAGCTTCACTATGCCATCGCTGCTGAAAAGCAACCCGGGAATTGCAAGAGCTTCAGAGCCTCAAGCATCCTTTTTTCCTTACTGAATTATTATGAACGCAATATTCTTCTGAAAGCTAAATAAATCCCACTTATCCATCCAAAGAGTTCCAAGGAACCATTCAAACTCCCACAATGCAACTCAATCCAGCCCTGCACATGATTCAACAAGCAGTGAACCAGAGGAGTGGGGCCACGCCTCATTCCCCCAGAGACGGCCCGGTTACCGTGACACCCGAGTATCAAAAGAGCTCTCGTATGCTTCTCTGAGCACGCTCAGACTGACCTAAAGCAGCTAGCCTGCGCCGCACTCTAATTTAGCCAAGTGTGAGAGGGGATTCTGTATGTGTGTGTACTTGCATGTCTCTTTATGGCACGGACATTGCTCAACACCTGTTTCAATGATGATAACTGTTGACATGTTCACACAGACCCTGACCGTTATTATAAGAAGGGGGTGATGGGAAGGCATGCTTAAAATCAGGGTGGGGATGTTGACAAACGCTTGTAGTGATGAGAACTGGAATATCTAATCTAATGTGGAAAATACCTCATCACCAGAACCCTGACACAGACATTGCCAACACAACATCAACACAAGAAACAGACAGCGAGCTATTTAAAGAGTCATTTATCATAAATACAGATCACTTCCACATGCTTTTGTTCATGTTTTCTTGCTTCACTCAGACACAGGCACAGACATCTGTAGACTCGCTTAAATGTTCCTTAAAAAAGTCATTCGATTAAAATTATTACATATACACATATGTCTTATGCTCACCAAGGCTGCTATTATTCTGATAAAAAATTTAATAAAAACAGTAACATTGTGAAAAATGATTACAATTTAATATATTTTAAAAGAAAGAAAGTATTGGTTTTTCCCATTCACACTAGAACAAGTACTACAAATGTCTGCTAGATGTTTAAAATCACACAGAAAAAGTACTTTAACAAACACTTTTCCATAATGTAGAAGGCACAGTTTCACAGAATGGTTCTCCAACAGGTTCCAAAAAAAAAAAAGATTGCCGCAGTTACCCAGAGCGAGAGAAAAGTGAAATGAAGTAAAATCAAAACTGTAGTGGGTCATAAGCGGAGTGATGCTAACCATTCTCAAGCCTTTAAACTCAAGCCAAGTACTCATTACCACAAGACAACACACTGGTAGAAAAACATCACTAACTGAGGGAGGGAGATGAGGACTAGTCAGTCATGAGACAGACTTCGGTTAACAATGCTGATTTATTTCCCTCTTATACTCCATCTATATCTGTTTTCCTCCAACATACTCAGAGGCAGAAACACAGAACAGGGGAAGAAAGTGGAAATTAAAGTAAACAGGGAGTATGGTGGAGAGAAAGAACGATTCGCCATGGCATTTATTAATTTCGCTGGCCCTCTAGAGAGACTGAGGACCACGGTAATGATTAATCTCGGAAATGAAAGGCATTTCTCAGCAGGACAGACTGTGGCAGACAATGTGTGTGTGAGTTTGGAGACAGTAGTTCTAGGAAAGTGCTGGAATCTTTATGAAAACCTGAACAGCCCAGTGAGACGTCCAGAGCGTCACACACAAACACAGCCATCGTCCCAGCGTGACTCAGAGAAAGCTGTGGTTTCATCAATGCCACGACCACCAAGTCTCAATGACCAGATTTTGCTCTCTCATAAAAATAGCAATATTACAGTCACTGGCAATAGAAAATAAAGCCCAGGGCAGTGAAATCAAACACTGGCAAAACACTCACAACCTGGAGTGACAGTTTTCTCTTGAAACTCTCAGCAAAAGAAAGGAGAAATGAAAACAGGAAAAGAAAGAAATCTCAACGGATTTTTAGCCCAAAAATGAAAACTGTCATCATTTAGTCACCCTCATGTTGTTCCGAACACATTACACATCTTGCCTTTAGCACAAAATACGATGTTTTGAAGAATGTTCATGTACATTTTGGTCCGTTTATCACTCAAACTCAAATTTATTTGTAACACTTTTCAGAGTACACATAGTACACATCGATACAGTATATATATATTGCTTTAAAGCTATTGTATGACTTCAAAAGTCTTTGAAAGAAACAGCATACAGGCACATGGACCATTTTTACAATACTTTATGATGCTTTTTGGTCTTTGTTGAGCTTGACAGGCTCTTTTTACTATATGCTTTTACTGTATAGGAAATATGAACATTGTTCAAAAACATCTTTTAAAGTCATACAGGTTTAGAACAACATGAGGGTGAGTTATAGGGCTGGGTATTGACACAGTTTTCACAATTCGATTCACAAGCTCTTGATTTGTTTCCAATTTCAATTCAATATCGATTCACTTGGATATATATCAGGTACAGTAAATGTCATTTTTTCTTAAGAAAGAAGTCTCAAGTAAAGCTCTAAACTATACAGGTAACCTGTCAGTTGGTACAGTATAATATACAAATTAAACTATTAAAGTTAAATTGCTATTTATTTTTAGATATAATAATCGACAACAACCAAAAATCGAGTTGTATACAAACATTCAAATTGCACAACATTCAAATGGTGGTTGTCATAAAACCTGACTTTATGACAGATTTATTCAAACATGCATTAAATAATGAAAGCGTTAAGAAGAACAGATTATGTAAAAATATAATGAATGTGATATTTTTAGCAAAATGCTCCTCTCTAAAGTATGGACATTAAATGTTACGTGACATTGTATACTGTATAAGTTCTACTGATGTCACGTTGACTAAGTGATTACATGACGATATATTTTGCAATAAACAATACGGTTTCTTTCAACATAGCTTCTGATGTTCATTCATGTTGATTTTATAAAAGAGATACCAGTAAAAAAAGGAAGAGAGCTTATTCCAACACTTATAGTGATGTTCTGTATAATATAATATAAAATTTTATTCATGTATCAACAAAAAACAGCATCGACTAAAGATTGATCGTGACATTTAAGAATTAGTGCTGTCAATCGATAAAAAAACCCCAAAAACTAATTAATCGCACATTTTTCTGAAATTAATCGCGATTAATCCTACCTAACATTAAAGTTTTTAAATATACTTTTATATTGCAATAATTTCACATTCAATCTTCAAATTAATGTACAAACAACATAAAGACAGTATATTTTTTAATAATGACTGATTATACAGAAATTGAAACTGAAGTTATCAAACACTAAATTCTAAATTTAATATAGATGAATCCTTAAAGCTATAAAAGTTCATTTTTTCCTTTTTTTTTTTTCTTTGTCCTTTGATTAATAGACATCACAGCAGCTGGTTATAAGGTTGTTTTGGCTGTTATTTTATTAAGAGCTGCCGCTGCTGAACGTGACGCGGATCTGACACGCATCATATTTACTCTTTTTACCTTTCTGACCCACTTCAGGTCTTGAAGTCTCTATTAATGGGCTGGCGAGTTGAATCGGGTGTGTTAGATGAGGGAGACAGTGCTGGGCTGCTCCAGGACAGTTTTGAAAACCATTTCAGAGACATGTTCTTAAATGTGACTTCATGACTTAATTGACCACAACATTGCATGCACGTAGTTTATTTCGCGCTTTGATATGAAAGGATACAGGCTACAGTGTGCGCCGGCGCCTTTGTGCGTGCAAGTGAAGAGCACACGCTGCGATCACAGTACCATTTCCGCACTCGTTTGACTCGCGCCTGGCGCTGAAGTGAAGTGGAGCGCGTCTGAAACGTCTCCCGTTCTCAGTGTATTTTTAACGCGTTAAACTGAAAAAATGAATCGCCTGCGTTAATGCGCTAATTTTGACACCACTATTAAGAATCCATATAAGTTTTTCAAAAAGAAGATTGATTAAAATCAACTAATTGATATTTGCAACGCAGCCCTAGTAAATGATGAGGCCATTTTGAATCCCTTTAGTTATTCATAACACTTTCTCACTTTATAGAAGATGGAACACGCAATAATTCTGTGAAATACAGTATTACGGCCCCAGCATCTTTACGACGCACTAGCTGTTAAAGTCCGTGTGCGATCTTTCTGTTTTGAAGTGTTCAGCTAGAGTTTATGGTGTAGGGAAACAGTGGGCCGTCTGTGCTCACTACAGTAGTAAACACACATCGATACACACATGCGGCAACTTGCGCGCACACATGGATTTTACATCATGCCCTGCCATCATTACCCAAACTGTGAAAAACCAAACCCAGACGAGTGAGGAACATGCAGAGCAGATGTGAGCATGCAAACGCTTTCTCTCTGCCAACCACCTACTCACGAGTGTGTGAGCGCGGTATCCACGATTTATTCACCTGAGAGAAATATGGGGAATACAGTACCATTTGTGCAAAAATGATGGTTTGAATGGCAATCAGAGAATTTGTGTGGTGGTGTATGTTAAGAGAGCATTTCTCAGGCGGTACAGTGTTTGATTCACACAGGCTCGTAAACCCGTACATCTCATGGCCAGCTAAAGCATCGCCAGTAAAAACACCATCACAAACTCTGCTCAGTCTCGGAGCCAAACTACTTAAGAGCTCTCAGCCTCACAACACACACACACACACACACACACACACACACGCACGTCCCGTTCCAGTGAGGAGTACATCAGAATGGGAACTCATGCAAGAACTGCCCAGAAAATTTCAACTCCTACTTAATAGTTCCAAGACGAATGAAAAAGCAGATTGTTACGGTGCTTCTGACTAGCTTGAAGTGTTAGTGACAAATTAAAATGTTCATTTCTTCACTGAGGTTACTAACACCTGTGAAAAGTGTGCTGTAGGAAAGAGA